GTCTTGGATGGGAGTCTCAGGGTCCTCCTCAGCCTTTTTTAGTTTCTTTCTGATATCAGGGGCGGACTGGGAGATGAAGTGGGAGGCAAGGGCAGTGGCCCCATTAGGGGACCCTGGGTCTAGGTAGGTGTATTTGACCAGGGCGTACTGAAGTTGATTAAGGAAGAGGGCTGGATTTTCGTCAGGGTGCTGGGTGATTTCTCTCATTTTTGTCATAATTAACTACCTTATTGGAGACTGCATCCATACCCCGAAGGAGGTATCGGAGCATGAGGTTCCGGAGCTGAATATTAGATCCAGGGCCAGCCTGATAGTTCTATGCAGGATCGTCCGGGGGAACTGCTTCATTGCCAAGGGGAATGGTATTGTCTACTGTGTGGTCTGCTGCCTGCTGTCGAACCGCCGCTAGGATGCGCTCGTGTTCTTCAGGGGTTAGAGTGGAGGTACAGATAATCCAGATGTCATGCCAGGTCAGATCATATGTCTGACTCAAATATCGGAACTCCCTGATGTAAAGGGAGGGGTCGGCCGAGAAAGAACCCAGACGTCTTTCGATTTGGGCGAGATCTTGTAGGGAAAAGGGGACGTGGACCCTAATTAGGCCCTCAGCCCCTGCAACCTCATGAAGGGGGGGAGCAAGGACAGCGGGTCCCGTGGGTGTGTGGGACCGGGTGTGGGCAGCAGCAGGGGAACTGAGGGGATTATCTGGGTGGGAGCGGTGTGTACCCAACAAAGCCTGAATATAAGGAACCTCAGAATCTTTTCCGGTGCCTTGTGTAGACCCTGAGAATATCCCAATTTGGAAAAATTTTCAAGGAGACATCCAAGGGGGTCTTACGGTCAAGTCTAGATTTGGAATTGCCCATGGCGACAGATTAGAGGGGCTTTGAGTGTCGGGAGAGCGGACATACAAAAGGCATCCCTTTTGTTTGTTTATTTTATTTTTATCCTCACTGGAGGACATTTTTCCATTTTTTGTTCAGATAGAGTGGGAGGGAGAGAGAGGAACAAAGAGAGAGAGAGAGAAACATCGATGTGAAAGGAACACATCAAGTGGCTGCCACCCGCACAACCGACCAGGGCCGGGGACAAACTGCAACCGAGGTACGTGCCCTTAGCGGGAACCGAACCCGGGTCTCTCAGGACCGCAGGCCAACGCTCTAACCGCTGAGCCAAACCAGCCAGGGCAAAAGGCGTCCCTTTTGAATGCCCATCCCCGGACGGATGTCCGTCCTGGACGGACAGGGTGGTCGTGAAGAAGCCTCAGACGTCCCTAGAAGCAGGTTCATACCGGGAGTTCCTGGAACTCCGGCAGAGAGGCGGGGGTGTCCCGATTTGGCCAAGATTTGGACGGGAGACCCGAGTCCCGGACGACAGATCAAAACCCCAGAAAAAAGCAAAACGGTTTTGGAGCCTGGCTCCTAAAACCTCAGAAAGAGTGAAACGGATTTGGAGCCTGGCTCCAAGAAATGGGTTTGGAGCCTGACTCCGAAAACCCCAGAGAAAGAGTGAAACGACTTACGGTTTAGGAGCCTGGCTCCGAAGTTGGTGCTGGGTCGAGGGAGATTCTGAATCCAGAAGACGGGTGGCGGGGCAGGGAGAGGAGGGGGACTCTCGTCCCGACCAGAGAGGCCAGGCTGGGTCATAAAACCCTCGCTCTTTTTTCTCTCTCCCGGGTTTCGGCACCAGATGTAAGGAATCAGGGGCGTTGCCGAAAAACAGAGAAGAGACTGGAGAGGCAATCAGCCGAATAAACAGGGATCAGGCTTTATTGGGTACACTCCAGGCGGGTTCACAGACTCTGGGGTTCGAGTCCTAGAAGCCGCGCCCGATGCTGGGGTTTGTGCTTTTTTATATCTGCCCGTTGCAGCTGAGATTTGTCTGTTAGGGTTTGACCTTGCGGGGGCTCTGCATGGGAGCCTCTGGAATGTGAGTCGATAAGAGCAGGATGGGAGTTAGTCTACAAGCTCGGGGCAGGCCGTTCCCGGAACAGGGTGGGAGGCAAGGCTGAGCAAGCGAGACAATGGTCGAGCAGTTTGCCTGGCGCCAGTTCCCAGGCTATCGGACACCTTCTATTTTGAATGATAGCCTTGCTGGGTAGAGTAGTCTTGGATTCAGATCCTTGTTTTTCATGACCTTGATTACTTCATGCCACTCCCTTCTGTCCTATAGTGTTTCTGTTGAGAAATCAGCTGAAAACTTTATGGGGTTTCCTTTGTAGGTAACCTGTTGCTTATCTCTTGCTGCCTTTAGTATTCTCTCTTTGTCTTTAATTTTTGGCATTTTAATTACTATGTGTCTTAGTGTGGGCCTGTTTGGATTCTTCTTACTTGGGCTCTCTGTGCTTCTTGAACTTGAATGCCTTCTTCCTTCACCATGTTAGGGAAGTTTTCTGTCACTATTTCTTCAAATATATTCTCTAACCCATGCCCATTTTCTTCCTCTTTGGGGACTCCTATGATGCGAATGTTACTACGTTTCCAGTTGTCCCACAGTTCTTTTAAGCTGTCTTCCTGTTTTTTAATTGTTTTTTCCTTTTGGTTTTCCAATTGGTTGATTTTTTTTCTACCCTGTCTTCTAATTCACTGATCTGGTCCTCAGCTTTCTCTGCTCTTCTGGTTAGTCCTTCCTATGTGTTCTTTATTTCTGCTATGTCATTCGGTGTTTCTATGTCTTTACTCATGGTGCTGGTGTCCTTACTTATGCTGTTGAGTTTCCTCAGTATCATGGCTCTGAACTCTACCTCTGATAATTTGCTTTAACTGCATTTCATTTATCTCATCTTCAATAGAATTCTCTTGTTCTTTCATTTGGGATTTGTTTCTTTGTTTCACCATTTTGGCTATCTCAGTGGGTTTTGGAGCCAGACAAGTTTTTCCTTTTGGTGTTGGTGTTCTGCTGTTTGTGGCTCCCTGTACTGGGTTTGGTTGAGCCTTGGTGGGCCCACGTTAAACACCACTGTCAAGTCTTACTTTCCTGGGTAGATTTTCTATCCCAGGAAAGGTTCAGTTATCCTCTAGCTTTTTCCTGGTGCCTAGTAGTCTCAATTATTCAGGGCGTTGGAATGTAACCCAGGTGTTCTGCATAAAAGGATTTCCAGAGGGTGGGATAGATGCTGGATATTAATGAGCCTCAATTTGCTTTTCTTTTCCTCACCTGGGAGAGGCTGAATCGGGGGGGGGGGGGGGGAGGCAGTCTGCTCTGGGAAGGAGCACACTGGCCACTGTCCTTTGTGGCTGCAACTCTGAGTGCCCTCCAAGTTCTGAGTGTCCCCACAGAGTTCCAGCCCAGTCTGCCCTCCCTCTGCTGTAGCCCCCAGGTGAATGGCTGTAGCTATTTTAGAGTTCTGTCCCCGCTCTCTGCACTGAGGAGCAGGCTTGGTCTTTATTCCCCAAGGGCGCTGCTCACAGCTCAGACTGCTGTTGTCCATGGGCTCCCATCCCACCACCTCTCGCGCCTCCGCAGATCCTACCAGTGTCCCTGGTTATATGGTCCTGTCCTGCTGCTTTTCTGTTGCTTTTTTCTGAGGATTTGTCTTTATTTTAGTTGTAATTCCGTTTGGTCCTGGGAGATCGTCTGTGTAGCTTCTATTCCCTCCACCTCCATTTTCACATCCTTTATGCGTATCTTGTACGCAGCTGGGTCGCACAGGCCTCTCTGGTGTTTCAGCATCCCACAGGTCCCACGGGTAACTAGATCATGCAGTCCCTGCTGGGTCACACAGGCCTCTCTAATGCTTTAGCACCCTGCAGGTCCCACTGGTAACTGGATCGCAGTCCCTGCTGGGTCGCACAGGCCTCTCTGGTGCCCCTGCATCCTGCAGGTCCCGCGGGCGGGCGGGCGGCTGGATCCCACCAGTCTCCCTCGGGCTCCGACTTCCCACTGCTCTTTTGAGCTGCTGGACAGCACAGGCCTCTGTGGAGGCCCAGTCCCGCCACTGGCGGCTGGGGAGTGCTGCTCGCCTGTGGGGCTCAACTCCTGCTCAGCTTTTGCTGTAGTTTTTGGGGATGAGTCTCAGCCACTGGTCTGTGCTTCTGTTGCCCAGGAATGGATGTCTGCTCCCCAGCCTCTGTTGCTGGGGTATATATCGACTCTGATCGGGCTGCTACTATGGTGGATGGTGCTGGGCTCCCGGCTGTCAGCGGCTTCCGCCACCGGCACCTTGGCAGCTCCACTACTGTGCACTGGTCTGTGTTGACACAGAGTGTCCACTGGTCCGATGGTGCCAGGTGTGCTGCTGGGCTCAGGTTGCTGGGCCCTAGCCGCTCCCACTGCCTCCTCCCGGGATCTTCCGGATTAATAGATATTTTTATAGGTTTGAGTTTGTATAATGGAGTGCTTTTCAGAATTATAATTAACATTGGGTATAGTGCTTTATATACAGAATATTTTTATATCCACGCTGCCTTTAACTCAGCCCTTTATAAGGTGTTGTCATTCCCATTTAATGTCCAAGAAAATTGACACCTACTTCCCTTGTCACATTGGAAACTGCTGAGACTGTATTGCAGACGTTCTTGGTGCACCAACTGGTACTGAAGAGCATTGGCTTTTAGCCATTTGGGGGTATACTGTCTCATTTGAGAATCTAATGAACCTTCTCTCCAGGAAAAAATTAAGTAGATATAATTTCCAGGGATTTAAGGATTCTCTGAATAAACAAAAGCCCTGTGTGATTTAAAGTTACATAATGATTGTCCTTTTGTTTGTCTGCTGTGGGCCATATGGTAAATGCTTGATAATATTGTCTCTAATTCTTTTAACATCTCTTTAAGTCTCGAAAAATTCTTGTTTTGCTGATATGAAAACTAAGCTCAGAGAAGTTGAGTAACTTGCATATATGGATAGTAACTGAAACACGAACCAGGGTGATTTTGACCTCTCTCCACCCCTCACACCCGTGATCTTTCACTTTATCATTCTATTTGGAGGACAGTTATTTCAGTCTTGTATATCAGTAAGTAAACTACAACTCAGAGTTTGTTTCCCTTTTACTATAGGTCTGTCAGTCTTGGAAATATGTCTTATAATAGCAATGAAACATTTAAATGACATCTATGAAGAGGAGCCCTTTAATTTTCAAATGGTCTATAATGGTGAGATGAGACTTCAGTAGTTTTTTTCTGACTCTACCCCACTGCTTGTTTGAAGTTACTAACATAGTCATTGCTTTCTCTCTAGAGTTTCAGAAGTTTGTTCAAAGGAAGGCCCATTCTGTCTATAATTTTGAGAAACCTGTTGTCATGAAGGTAAGATTCATTTTTATTTTTCTGAACGCAGGTATATTTTTTATTCAGTTTGATTGTCCATTTGACCCTTAAACGACACAGGTGTTTAAACTGTGAGGGTTCACTTGTACATGGCTTTTTTCTCAGTAAGTATTGTAAATGTGTTTCTTCTTCCTTATGGTTTTCTTAATAAAATATTATTTATTCTAGCTTACTTTATTGCAAGAATATAGTATATAATATATATAACATACAAAATATGTATCAATCAACTTTCTATTGGTAATGCTTGTCAACAGTAGGCTATTTGTAAAGTTTTAGGGGAGTCAGAAGTTATATGAGGATTTTTGACTGGGTATGGACAGTTGTCGGTGCCCTCAACCCCAGCACTGTTCAAGGATTAACTATATATATCATAGTTGCCCTTTATTAATTTTGAAAACTGTTTAGTAGTTTTGAAGCAGCCAGGTGTTTTAGTTTGTGGGAATATACTGCCCTCTGCTGTCTGTTTCTAGCACTTGCATCCTGGAAAGGAACTGTTAATTACAGTGTGAAATACATTGATGTAGCCCTATCCATTTTCAACCCAAGGTTTAGCTGTACAAACTTAGCAGTAACAAGAGACAAGAATGCTGATATGAGCTATTAAGAAATCAACAGATGAAATCGCACTGACTGGTGAGGGTATACAGAGAAGGGTTCATTAGGGGTTGGGTGAGGCAAGAGTTTTAAACTTGATGAGCTCTATTCCAGTGTACTATTGTCCACTAGAAATATAATGTGAGCCACATAATGTAATTTTTTGGTTTTCTAGTAGCAACAAAAAAGGAAATAAAATGAAATTAACTTTAATAATGTTTCATTTAACCCAATATACCAAAAACATTTTAATCTATAGTCACTATAGAAAATTATTAGTGTTGTCTTTGAAATTCAGTGCGTTTTTATACCTATTTAATTCCCTAAATATTCATTTGAAATACTTGCTCTTTAGATTCCATAAAATTTGTAGCTAAAGAAGTAGATTCACATTCTGAAATTATTTTAAGCATACTTAAAATTTTCTAATTGACTCAAGTATCCGTTTTCAAATTCAATGTAATGAAAATTAAATTAAATTAAAAATCGAGTCCCATGTTTCAAATGCTCAGTAGTTTATGTGGCTTGGCTAGTGTTTGCCTTGTTGGACAGCACAACTCTAGAGGACTTTACGAGAAGAAACATGTTTTTTTAAAGCAGTAGACTAGTGGTTCTCAACCTTCCTAATGCCTAATGTAGTTCCTCATGTTCTATGTGGGCGGACCCGCCTGGAGACAGAGAAGAGCGGTGTCTCGGTTCTTAAGACCATCGGAAATATGTGTTTTCCGATGGTCTTAAGCGACCCCTGTGCAAGGGTCGTTGACCCCCAAAGGGGTTGCGACCCACAAGTTGAGAACTGCTGCAGTAGACCATACATCCGTTATCATCCCTTATAGATTCTAGTAGTCAGACTTTTATTTCTTGTAGCAACCAAAAAATGGGGGGGCATTGCCATTTCTTCATAACAAAAGGAAAATTAAGGCTACTGCAGGTTGGTTTTCTCCCCCTTCCTAGTGTCCATGTCTGTCTGGTAGTCATAGTTAGTGGGAGTTGTATGAGCAGAAACTGGTATCTGAGCATTTACATTCTTATGACTTTCTGTATTTCAGATAAAAAAGCATTTTTGCTGCCTAGAAATATTTTAAATCTCTTGAATTTTATTTATCTCTAGCCTCTTGTATTGTCTCATTTTCAGAAATGGTGTCTGAGTTATTTCTTTCCATCAGAATTTTTATGATACATAAAGAATATATTCTAATGATATTTTTTCACTGTGAATCTGTAGAAATAGAAAGTTCAGGAATTGATTTCAGTGTGTCAGTATTTAATGGTTAGTATGTCATGATTAGATGGTTTTTTTATTCATACCCTAGTAAAATACCTAAAACAATAATCACGTGAGGTAAGAAGAGGCACACAGAAAAGAGCCTTGTTAAAGATAGCGAAGATAGAAGAAAACTTGCTGACAGATTGTGGCAGTCTCCATCAGACTTCTTAGGGAAACGGGAACCTGTCCTCTCTCCTCTTTTCTGGTACTACTCTGCTAAGTCATTTATTTATAGGATTAGCTGACAGGCTTGGTGTGCTCCTAGAAGTCTTCCCTGTCTCCCTCATTTTTGCATTTGTGTTAAACTTACACAGCAAAGTCTTAAAAAGGCACAAACAAAATATAAGTGCATATTTGAGTAACCTAGGTAATAAGTCAAAAGGTGCTGGTCTTATCAGATCTTAGATTTATTATAGAGAGCTGGAAACCCTTCATTAACTTCAGCACTAGGAGGAAATATGATATAGACCCTTCATTAACTTCAGGACTAGGAGAAAATGTGACATAGAATAAGATCAGGAACACAAAATGAGATTAGGGTAATAAATTACGTTGTGCAGACTGGATTAAAATTTGTCCTGTTTACATTCAATAACGTGGGGACAAATAATTGTATATTGACACTGTTTCACCTGATATTTGTTTTTATGAGTGGATGGAGGGTTGTTTTGAACCTTATTGATTTATATTAAGTTTTTGTTTTTTTTTTCTTACATTCTGTTCCACAATTGACCAAAACCCTTAACTATTCTCTGGGTTTGTTTCCCTATTGAACCTAAACTATTTCTTTCATCTTTCAGGCTTTTGAACACTTACAACAGTTAGAATTAATAAGACCCATGGAAAGAACTTCAGTAAATGCACAGAGAGAGTACCAGCTGATGAAACTACTTTTGGATAATACTCAAATTATGAATGCTTTGCAGAAATACCCCAACTGTCCTACAGATGTTAGGCAGTGGGCAACATCCTCACTCAGCTGGTTATGAATATAACCTGTGGTTTCAGTTATGGAGTTTCAAGCAAACTTCTCTAAAGAACTAAAAGCTATTGTCCTTTAACAAGATATGTTGTTACATTTTCTTATATTTATAGACATACATTTTTGTATTTATGGGGGACTGTTATACATGTAGTATTCTTGGCCGTGTTATGCCTTTAAATCATGAACAGCTACGTGATTTATAATTCTAGTATTTTAGACTATGTTGTAAGTAGAAGTTCAGAAAAATAAATGTGACTATTTTATAGGGATTGAACCATATACTTAACAGTTAGTATTTGTGTGTTACATTTGAAGTGTTCATTTCAGCCCAGCAGAGATGTTTTTATAAACCTTAAACAAAGCACTAAAGAAACAATGGTAAGAGTTGAGATGTAATGGGTAATCTTTTGGTCGAATGGGAGGTGGTGTATTTTTTTCCCCCTGTACCCATGGAAATGTTGGATTCTATTCCAGGCCCAGATCTTCTAGTTCAGAAGCCTGACCAGTTTGGCTAGAAGATGGTTCACATGGAAGAAAATGGCCAAAAGTTTGGACATTTTCTTCCAGACTTCTCAAAATGTGGTACTTGATACCATATACAGAAGATTCCCTTGAAGAATTGTTTTAAATGCAGATTCTTGTGCCTGTTCTAGTCCAAATGATCAGAATTTGTCTACTTTTTAACAGGTACTTTAAGAAAATCCTAGAAAACCACTTTCATCACTAATAATGAGAAGTGTTTCACAGTGTTAACTAAATCCATTTATATTTAAAAGTAAATCCCTAAGAGGAATGTGGAAAACTACCAGCTAAAGGATCACTTTATAAATTCAGGAATCCATAGACTAATACAGCCATATGTTTAAAGTGAAAGTTAGTAAGTACTCCTTAAGTGTTAGTGACTTCCTTTATTCAAGACTTTGATTGCCTATTGTTTTCATGGAAGGTTTACAGAAGGCAGTGTCCCTAATCTTGTAGATTATAATACTTGCAACTGTCAAAGGCCATAGGGTGTTTCCATGCTGTTATTTACAGATGAGAAAACTAATAGTTAGTGGCAGTGTCCAGAATCACACAGGTGGAGGATGATGATAGATCCTGGTTCAAATAGGTTTATTGACACCAAAGTCCCAGCTATGAAGACCTGAAGTTCAGTAATGGTTCTTTACCATTAATTTTTTAAAGAATGCTCCAAGAAATGATTTATCTGGTATTTAAGAAGTCTTGGATGCAGAATAGAAGTATCTGTGCACAATAAAAATAACTCTTCAGTAGTTACCACTGTTTTTGCGTATGTAGCCGGTCCTTCCCTGCCCCTGTAAATCTTCAGATCACTGTCATTTTTTTTCAGCAGTCTTGCTGAATCTAAGGCTTCCAAACTGGTTCTGTGCAATACTCGACAGAATTTTAGGGGATATTTTGCCAAAATAGTTAACGTGGTAGCATCACTACTAGTAGAAGCAAGGATTTTACATTTGATCTTAAATTTTCCCATTAAAAAAAATTTCTAAACTATTTTAAGGCACTGACTGTAAAAATACATGAAGAACTGATTTGAGGATTATAAATTGTTATTAGGTTAAGATGCCACTAAAAGGCTGAGACCACTCCCTGCCTGCTACATAAGATGCATCAATATCCAGGTATACAGATTTAAAAACTAAGTAGCAGGGTGTGTTTTCATATTCAGTGAAACAAAGCAAATTAGAAAAAAATAGGTTAGCAAAAGTCATACAAATGAAGTACATGTCTATATTCCTAAGGCATTTTTTGAGGAGAGAAGGGATGTTGATTTTCCTCACCTCATATCCCCTAATACAAAGCAACTAAAATGTACCTTGAACATTTTTAGACTAACTTTATTAAACCGCTTAAACCATCATCAATGAAAGAAAAAATTAAAAAATCTGAAAAGCCCTAGTAAAAAGTTTGAGAGAATAATGTAAACAAACATGGCTTAAAGCAGTTGTTCTCAACCTTCCTAATGCTGCGAGCCTTTAATACAGTTCCTTATGACCCCCCAACCATAAAATTATTTTTGTTGCTAGTTTATAACTGTAATTTTGCGACCCCTGTGAAAGGGTCGTTTGACCCCCAAAGAGGTTGTGACCCACAGGTTGAGAACTGCTGGCTTAAAGATATATTCTTGCCCTGGCTGGTTTGGCTCAGCGGTTAGAGCGTCAGCCTGCGGACCAGAAAGACCTGGGTTCGGTTCCCGCCAAGGGCACGTACCTCAGTTGCAGTTCGTCCGTGGCCCCGGTTGGAGTCATGCAGGTGGCAACCAGTTGATGTGTCTCACATCAATGTTTCTCTCTCTTCCTCCCTTTCACCCTCCCACTCTATCTGAAGATAAATGCAAAAATGTCCTCAGGTGAGGATTAAAAAAGTATATATGCTTCATTTACTAGAGGGATAATGCAGCCTTTGAACAGCACAATAAAAAACCCAGGAGAGTATTTGAGATTGTGCTTTCTGGCATGTCAGTTAAGTTCAAATAAACTCTTGTACAGTCGTCCCTCGCCACTTCCGCTTTGACTTTCCCGGCTTCAGTCTATTGCGTTTTGTTTTGTTTTGTTTTGTTTGTTTTGCTTTGTCTTTTTCTGGAAAAACCGCAATAGGTGAAGCCGGGAAAGTCAAAGCGTGAAGTGGCGAGGGACGACTATATATAAATAAAGAGTCCTACTTCGCGGAAACGTATTCATCACGGTAGAGCCTAGAACTGATTAACCACAATAAATGAGGACCGACTGTAAAAGTTAAAAAACAAAGCATGGAACATCAGTTCCATAGGTCAGGTTTAGAAGCAGGTGTGGAAGAAGTGTGTTAGGGAATTCTGTGCAGTTTTTACTCATGTGATCCCCCCAGGTGCCCTACCAAAAACGATCTTATTTAAAATTTTTAAATTAAAAAGAAACAAACATTCCAATGCATATGCACATTAATGTGAATGGTTGAGGAATGAAAACCTGTTATCCAAACTTATTATATCATGCTATATATGTTGAGTATATACTACATTAGCTTCCTGATAATGATAAATCAGTGTTTTGCATAATACACTGTGGAAAACGATTCCAGTCTTTCTGTAGATTCCACCATGGTTTGCGTTTTCATGTCGTTTTAAAGACAATGCAGGTTCTTTCAAACCACCATAACCTAAGCATTGCCCCTTTCTTTACCCTAAGAAACTGACAGTTCATTAGTGTGAGCTGTGACAACGGACAATGTGACAATATGGGGCTTTTCCACTCTCCTCAAAAGCACTGTTTGGACAAAACTTTTGCAACATTAAAAATATAAATGGAGCCCAACCGCTGTGGCTCACTGGTTAAGCATCGACCCAGGAGGCACCAAGAGGTCGCTGGTTCGATCCCTGGTCAGGGCACATGCCCAGGTTGTGGGCCCAATCCCCAGTGGGGGACATGCAGGAGGCAGCCAGTCAGATGTTCTTCTTGTGGAAGAGCATTTGACTGCAGATGTTCTCTCTCATCAATGTGTCTCTCTCCCTCTTCCTTCTTCTTCCTCTAAAAATTAATAAAGAAAAAAAGGATATATGTAAATGGAAGTTAGCTTCCTATTGCTGATTACCCTAGGTGAAAATACCAGAATTCTTCCATCCCATTGGTAAACAGGTTACAAATCGGATATATAGTTTATATCTTTGATGACTGTTTCCTAAGCCCTATTTTGTATTTCCACATGAAAAGACAAGATAACTAATGCCGGCTAGCCTCTGGCTTCCTAAAACTGGCAGGACCAACATAAATACCTTAGTGGAAATACAATTTGCTTGGACAAAAGAGGAAAATGCCGTAACTGACAAGTCTCCCTTATTTCACCATTATCCCCATTCTTACAAATCTCAAGGTGGTAGCCTCACTATAAATTACAAACCTCCTCTTTAGGAAGAACATATAGCTAAAGAAAGACTGCATATGCAAATCATACTATATTCATTTTTTTTTTTATTTAACTTGGGGATGGAATGGGGATAGCATACATTTTATTTGTACAATATTTAACAATCACTTATCCAATGTGGGGTTTTATGGGGCTTTTTAAAAACTTTTTTTAGCTTTTTGTTAAATACTTGCAGGAAAAAAACAGCAAGTACAATTTGACAGTAGTACAACAACCTGTGCCCAAAACACTGACAAGAAATACAGAGTAAAGCTAAAATAATTGCTTTCCAATATTTTGAGAGGTAACAAATAGGATATGGGTTGAGACTGCATAAAAAATGTACTGCTGGTTGAATATCTGAGGTAAATGATGTTCAATCAAAATGCTACTTGTATCGTTTTGCCCACAAATCAGTAAATAATTTTATGAACATTATACCAAATGTTCCTAAAAAGTAATTTTTTAGAAAGGTAAAAAAGAGAAACTGGAAAATATCTGTGGTGAACCAGTATTTTTAAAGCAGTAATCAGTTTATTCCATCGGGTTTTTTTCTCCTGGCACTTGCATTTTACTTAAATGCAGCCGTTACGTAGGGGTGAGGAAAGGGGGAAGAAGATATTCTTTTTTAATTTGATGATACATGATTCTGTTTTAAACTCCAAACTTGTTGGAGTTGTTTTCTGATTGTATTTTCAAAAACATCATCATGAGAGATAGTTCATGGGACCAACAATTGTGAGGCACAGTCTCTGTTCTAGAATTCACAAGGTACCTGTAATAAACATTCAAACAAGAATCACACATCACATGCTAAAAACTTCCTAGCATCTAAATACATACAAGAGCTGTGCAGGGCATAGACATCAAATACAGCCAAACACTGGTTAATCCATGATCAGTCCTATGGCAGTTGATCATAAAGTGTTCCTTACACGGAGATCTGGGCAAGGTCGAGTGTAACTTAAATAGCGGTCCAATGGGTATCAGGCAAAATGCAAGACAAATCATAAGGAGCACCATACACATGAGGAAAAAATTACTGGGGTCAGTTTACCCCAAAATGAAGTCATTTTTCTCATTCATTGATCTTTTTTGTAGTATCCCTAATCAAACTGTTAACTTGCCCACTCAGCCCTGACTGTAAACCAAACACGAAAATGCCCTGCAAAGGAAAGTTCCAACAAGACTGGGTATCAGGACAGGTAGTCACTGGAACATTCTTATTTAACTGCTTATAAAAAGTGATTTCTATTAATATAGTTCTCAAAAGGATACAAGTTTTAAAATTGGTTAGTTAAGTACAATACCCAGATTTCTAAAATTTATCTTGTGAATAACTGGTCTTATAAAATATCTCTAGTGCTCACATAAGCCAAATATAATATTCCTTTTGTTTTGATTCGATTTTTTAACTTTTAAAATCAGGATTAAATGTTTAGAACAGGTATAAATTAGTCTTCAGGAGAATAACAATTTTCATGTGTGAACATTCTGATTATTTTCCTTTCTTGATTAGTTTCAAGGTGGAAGCAAAACCAAATCAAGAAATTTGAGAGGCAAAGAACTTCTGGAAATAAAGATGTGAACTCAGCACTGAAATGGGAATTCTTAAAAA